GACCTCCCACCTATCCCTCATGAGGAGAGGGTCAGAATGTCTGACCTGTACTACTACACCACCAACGCTTGGTGTCCGAGAGGATCTCGCCCCAAACAAAAGGTTGCAACATACACTGTCACCTCTGAGGCGTGGAATCGACAAGGATTTCTACAGATTCCCGGGACCGTGGCTCAGAGAGCCAACTCCAATCCCCATCCGCCCTGATTCCACTTACAAAGTGCAGGTCGCAGTTCAAATGGTGATTGTCCCCCTTAAAGGGGTTTATTCCATTGGCGCCATGATCACTGTTTTTGGACGACATCATGAGGTGGTCAACACAGCCGAGGCTCCCGCCCCACCACCTCGCCGCCACTCTGGCTTGCTCTTCAGAGCCCTGACCCGCGTCCCCTCATGGTTGCGCAGGGTGAAGAGCGAGACAGAATAAACTAATTGTACTCCAGTGAGGTGTACGGTTTCCCCTTCATTCGACTTATGATGTATTATTCACTTTCCCTGGGATTGGCTGTGGGATGATTGACCTCAATAATCCCAGGAGAGGAGGTGGGGCCCTGAAGATGAGGAAGGGCTAATTGTAACCACACCCCACCAGAGGAGAACCCCCCCCCCCTCATAAAGATAAAGAGCCTGGCTGTGAGCTGCACAATAACATAAAGAAGATGGAGAGGATCACCTACATGTCGCAGACCCAGGAAGACCCAGAGGACAGTGACAGGGAAACCGACCTCACAAAAAAAAAACCCTCCCAAATACAGCTGCGGCTGCAGCTGTAAAAAGAAGCCATGTCTGCAGACAGGCTTAAGGCTTTAAGCTTTTTTCTTGCTGTTGCTTTAATTTTGTCAATTTTGTACCAAGCAGGATACCAACCATGGAAAGTCACTCATGCCAGAGTGTTTCATGCCAACACAAAATATGGAAATTTGACCAGGAACAACCTCTTCATGCCCTGGGATGCAAACCAAACTTCTGAGAATAAACTGACTCCTGGAACAGGATAAAAAGAATGGGCTGTGAAGCATGGCGAAACAACCTGGATGATTGGGATGCCTGGACACATGAACTGGCATGACAAAACTTCACGACAGACCACAGATGGACAATCGCAAATCTACTGGCAACTAAAGATGGATTGGTTGTGTGGGTTAAAATATTAGAAGGCCATGAGACTAAAACGACGAAGTGCAACTGGATACAGCCAGAGGGAGAACCACCCGAACGGCACTGCGACTGGGGATACAGGCCTCTGCTGGGCCTAGCGCATCAAGGATACTGGCAATATGAAGCACCCCACAAACACATATTCTGCCCGGCCATACTTCCAAAGTGGGAGTTTTGGGGACATTATAGCCTCAAATGTAACAAAATCCCAGTCACGAACAGAACTAGAATTAGACCACCAAGAAATCATCCGACAGCCTATAAAAAATGGTACAGAAGGTCCCCAAGTAAAACTGGCAATATAAAGGCATACAACGAGACTACCAATGCAACGAAAATTGAAGCACAAACCACTCCGCCCCCAGGTACCAATCCGGCCCCAGCCCAGGACCCAGAAAAATACAACATCATGGATGAATGCTTAGCAGACATCAAACGCCTTGACTCCTGCATCTGGAACATGTGGGTAAAATGTAAAGGCCAAAACCTTTTGCCCCTGAGCCCGCTGTGGTTCCAGACTTACTATTATGCCAGCTACAGATCAATTTTCAGTCCTCACAAGGCTATGCATGAGGAATGGCTAAACTTTACCTTCCCGTGGATATGGATCAAAGAGGCTGTCGTCCACTGTGAAGGAGATTTCCCGGAAGGATCTACTAGGAACCGGGGAGGGCTTAAGGGCCCCTACTGGTCACACATGTATGTCCAAAAACTGCCCACTGTCCAAGAGTTAAAATCAGTACCCAAAGGAGATTTTGACAAAATAGACAAATGTGTTGCTAGAAGAATTTTCCTCAGCCTCAATGATTCGGAATGGGAAGGGCATGGGGCCTCCCCTAGATGTAAACTGTGGCAGGTCGATATCTCCTTTGTGTCAACATGGAGGTATGACTGCACAGGCATCCTGAAGCACCAAAGAATGGCACCAAAGAATTGCTGCAAGGATGGATTGAAGGACACAGTAGAAACAAACTCCGGACATGGTGGGGGTTTCAAAGAGAGGAAATGGAACATTGGATGATACTCTGCCTGTCCCAATCCGACAACTATTGGGTAAAGTATCAGTATATAGCAACGGTGTACTCATAAGAGCATGATATATGGTCCTGTATAATTTACAGACCAGACAGGTATGTCAGCCCAAGGCCATGGAAATTGACCTGTACCAGAAGTGGGCACGCTTGCACAGTAAGTCTGGCACGAAGATCCTGCAGTGAACTACCAGGTTGGGAAAGTTACTGTGGAAGTTTTTATGCAGATGAGTACCATACTCATGAGGCTGCGACAGTATGGACCAAGACACGACCAACAACTTATCAAAAATTGATATCAAATGCAACCAACACATGGCGTCGAGCCATGGCCTGTGATCACTGTGTTAATGCCATCATAGGGCCCCACATGAAGTCCCGGAAGAGTATTGCAGGTGAAATTATCCCCTCAGTCCCCGATACTATGATCACGATAGCTGAGAGTCACGCTTTCAGAAGAGGGCTGTGCCTAGGCCTCGAAGAGGAAGGATTTGAGTGGGTAGGTCCAAATCTACTCTATGGTACCTGACATGCAATACCCAGAAGAAGTTTGGAAGAAATGTGGCCCTGACTCTGACAAACACACCTGTGCATGGTATGAAACCCTGCACACAATGGCCCTCAGAGAGGTAAAAACCCTGGCAAAGGAGCCATTGAAATTGTTGTTGAAGGAGCAGGAGCAGTTGAGGAAGGTATGGTGGAATTGCTGGAAAATATTTGGCCATACTGCCTGACGGTCATTGGTATCTTGTTTGCTGCTGTCTTGGCACACCTGGCTCTAAGAGAATTGTGTCTCAGAGCCCTGCCCCCAAGGAGGGGTGAGTACAAGCCCCTTTCCCAAGCTAGAAAGTAACTGATCCTATATAAAGCTTAGAGCACATAACCTCAGTACGCAGCATCGCAATCGCTTTCCTTAACGCTGCAGAAACACTACAAATGAAGATTACTATGGAAAAGAGACAATGGGGGCGAGGAGTTCCGACGATCAGTGTGGAAATAGATCCAACCTGTCCTGAAGAAATTCTAATTTTGGACTATCACGTTGGTCCTTATTGGTTCAACAGAAGATATCGAATGTCATCCAGGAGAAATTTGTTGAAAATGATGGCCGGAACAATAAGAATAATCACCGCAAATCAAGAATCATTCCTCTATGAAATAAGAGGCCACCATTTTCAAAATTGACTGCAAGGCCAAAAGAGGAGGAGACTACAAGCTCCGCCCCTAAGGAGGGCGCTGTTTCCTTATAAAACAGGCTGTGCTGAAACAAAAGAGGAACAACCCCACTGGACCTGGACGAAGACACAAGAAGAGGAACAACTGTAGCATACCATGGCTTCTACCCAGCTACATACCACACCCGACGTAAGTCCCACTTTTAACTCATCCATGCAGCATACCCGCTCACCAAGGCCCAGGGATCCTCCCTTGGCTGTATCTCCAGTTGAATGCTATGCAATAATGTTTGCATGGTTCTGTTATTGCATGACAGGGAAATGGACTCTCAAGCAACCGTTAAGAATTCTTATCCTGGCCATATCAATGGGTCAGGTTGCAGTTGGCCGCCTTTTAGGCCGACAAGAAGTCGCACTCTCTCTGTTCGTCTCCTACATCCTGGGGAGAGCGAAGCCACTGCAACCCCGGGCGGCTGCTTTACTTCTCTTATGGTTGCTTATTGAGTTTGTGGTAAAAGGCATTGAATGGGTTAGACGAGCACCATTCTCCCGCTTTGCCCCAGAGTACATCATCCTGGCTGTCTGGGAAGGTATGCTGGCCATGAGTGTCATCTTCGTCATCGGTCGAGAAACCTGCCGCATAACATGTGGAAAGGTGGCCTGGTTCCTTAGGTTCCTCCGCCTTGCTCTGTGGGGCATAGCCTGGGGTGTCTATTCAACTCTATATTGGATGGGACTGATCAGCGAGTTATCGATCCTTGCCTGGTTCATGACTTACGCTGTCCTCCTCACTGTGGCCGCCTCAGCTGAACAAGCCTCACTCGAACCACCACCTCTTCCTCCAAGAAACGAGCTGATCACCACCCTGCCCAGCAGAGCTCGACCGCTCCAGCGCTGGGTTAATCCTCCCAATTTGCCTCCCTTCGACGCCTCTCTCTACCACAACTGCCCCCAGTCTCAAGATGATTAACTTTTTTGCTTTTTACTGCATTTAAGCCACATTTTTGTGATTTTTTGTAAGAAAACGGGAGGAAAAGTTCTGAGCTGCAGCGCTGCTGCCCCTCCCTCCACAAAAGAGCAGATACCGGTGGATGAAAGTCAGCAGACATGCGCAGTCAGGTCAGTTTTCCAAAATCAGAATAAGATGATCATGATCTTTTTCAAAGATGATGGTAAGTGTTTACATGCACGTCGTTCGGATTACCAATCGGCATAAACCACTCCTCTCATTCCAATTACAAATTCATTCGGATCGAGCTGAATCGGGTCAGAATAATCTGAATGGGGTGTTTAAATGACACATTTTTATTCCGAATGGCCGTTTAATCTGATTACTTATGTCCATGTAAACGTAGCTATAGGCAGGAAGCAGACTGAGGGAGGAAAAGATGAGAATGAAAACACACGAGACAAACACGAGAGACAGATTGACAGTTTTTGTGCTTTTAAATGTAGCTTTTCTGGCTAATTCTGTTGCTGACGTTGAGCTGCAGAAAGAGTGAATATTACAGCAGCTCAAACTATTGGGACCATGTTTTTGTTCCTGAGAAACTTGCGGAAAAATAAAACAAATAAAATGTACATAAAATCTACAGTACCTGCTCCCAGTTTCTGAAGGAAAAAATGACAGCGCTTTGCAAATTATTTCATGAGTTCTATATTTTATTAAGTATTTAAAACCACAAATAAAAGCTGCAGCTCAGACTTTGTATCAATTTTAAAAAATAAAATCGGCAAGAGGTCTAATGTGCGGCAGATGCTAAGAAGTGTCTGTTTTCACAAAATTGTCTAGCCAAATGGAAGAAACAGAGCTGCAAATATTGAATAAAAATACCAAAAAGGTGAGAAAAATCTAAAATTTAACAGATCTGGAGAAAATCCACAAAATCCACTGATAACTGAACTGATAAAACAAGTCTCTCACAGTCTTTGTGTTCTGAGCTATTCAGGGTTTTCCACCATCATGGCAGACCCGTGTCTGTAACTCGGTCACCAGGCACTTCATCATGCCTCCCAGCTGATAGTGCATCTGGACAAGCTGCTGTGGCGTGCAGTGGCTGAGCTCCAGCGGCATCATCCTGCAGCTAAGAGCCTCCACCACTGATGGCAGAGGTTCCTCTGCTCCATCAGGTGTCTGCGTGGCTTTGGAGTCCACATTTGGAGGGAACGACTCGTCCATCAGCTCTGTGGCTGCATATAAAGAAATGTTTACAAATGAGAAGAAAACAAGGCTGCAGAGAAAATTCTTCATGAATCCAGCATGCAGAAACTTTTAGCCGAACAGTTTGTGTGTCACGCAGGTGGGTTTTATACAAATTAATATGTAATCTTCCATGAAGCTTTAAAGAAACAGAGCATTTTACACACAGAGTGTCTCTCCTGCTGTAGTCTTGTCCTTGTCCTGGTTTGGAGGAACCATGTCCTCGATCTCGGATGCCATCAGCTCTGTTTCATCAAAGCTCTTCAGCTCATCTCCTCCTCGCCCTTTACGCTGCAGGGGCAGTTTGAAAGTTGAACACACATCAGGATAGGGCTAAAACTTCAATCTACCACTCAGTCCAACAACTGAGCAGCATAACCATGTTTAAGGAGGAACTATTTGTGGCCAAAAATGATACAAAGACACCAATTTGACATCACTTTGCTTTAAAACAAGACAATACTCAAAACCGAACAGATCAGAAAAGCAAACTGTACTTCCAGGTAAACAGAAGTATAGAGTCAGTGCTGTCATGTTAAAAATACATAATAATTTCATATTTTGTTTTCCTAAACATTTTAGTGTTGCATTTATCAGTAAAGTTCTGATCAACACCAACTTTTGAAAGGGTTTATTTCGATACCGGTGCTAAATCGATACTTTCAAAACGGTACCGGTTCCTAAACGGTATTTAAATAGGTACCTTAAAAATAAATAAATAAAACACACACACTCACACAGAGGTTTATGAAGTAATAACTATTTCTGAGTCAAAGTCAAACTTGAAATTGACCAACATTTTAACTTAAAACCATTAATAATTTGTCTTTGCACCAAATATTCTTAAAGCATTTGTTGTAGGTGGAAGTTTCTGCATCTTATTTTATAAAGTGACACCACACTTTGGACCGCTTTGCTTTTGACATCTCGACTTTAATATATAACTGTGGCACCTGTTTAGCCCCTCTCCATGAACTCGGTTCTACTTGATTCACTTTGGGTCAGGTCGGTTCTGCTCAGTGTCCGTGTATCTCCACGCAGTGGGTGTGATAATGTGCAGACCGTCCGCAGAGGCTTCAGCTGTTGTGTTAAAAATAATCATAAAATAAAATAAAAAAGCTGTTGTGGTCTTACCGTTCGGACTTCACTTTTATTTATTTATTTATTTTCATGGTGGTGTTTATAGCTACAGTAAGTGCTTGTGTAACCGTGCGGCCAGTTTGCTGAAAACCTCCCGTGATCTGCTCAGCTTCGTCTCCTTCACTTCTCTCCAAGGAAGTGTTTACAACCCAAACCTAACAGGAAGTGTTTACAACCCAAACCTAACACCAACTGTGCCACAGTTTTGAATTATTTTTAGGCCATAGCAGGAGTTGTACTTCACACTAGCTGACAGTAAAATGATGGTTTAAACATGCTGTATGTTCATTCTTCTTAATGTAGCAGTCACCTCAAGTGGAATAAACGAGACAACTGTCTTTGACCTCAGGCCTCTGACGGACCCTTTAAGACAGACAGAACTCTGTTCCAGTTAAACCGAATTTAGGCCGTAAAGGTCATTTTAACCTTAAAAAGACATTCTCTTTTTCTTAAATAGATAATTAACAGGATAATCTCCATTATTTTCATTTATTTTTCTTTTAACTAAGAGTTCTTATGAATTTGATAATCAGAGACAATGTTACATGAGGAAGGAGGACAGATCTGTCACTCTCATTGTGATTCAGCTATGTTATGGATTTTTCTGTTGAAATGTCTTACTTAACTAACTAATCGTTATGGTTTAAGTTTTATTATAAAACAATGTTTTATTTGTCTGAATCATACTGCAAACGTCTTCATTCTTTCAGTGTTGAGTGAAGGTCAACATGACGTGCAGATGTCATAATCTTTGTTTAGTTCCAGATGGCGACATGCCGTCTAACACTTTCTAATCTCCCTGTACTATCTTCCGTACCCCAACACGGAAACAGACGTTTTCTCCTCGCGGGGAAACAGCGCTTGGCTCGGTGATTCTGCCCATACACCAATGGGGAATCGCCAACGCAAACACACGGCGTGTCCCACATAACACGAGCTTTTAAGCTCCACAAGCAACTTGTTCTGACTTCTGCTGGGAAGTACTTTTATTTGTAAAACGGGATCCAGTGAAGCCTAGATTATACTTCAATAAGATGTGAGAATGCAGGTTGCTGATTGCTCATTTTCAGCACGTCTTTTCCTGACAGAGTATAAACAGGCTGAAGATGCAGTTGGCCATAAACTATCATAAATCCTCCCGCTGCCCTCCCACAGCTCATATAAAATATATACAGTGGGTAAAATAAGTATTGAACACATCACCATTTTTCTCAGTAAATATTAGAGCTGTGTATTGGCAAGAATTTGGCGATACGATACATATCATGACAGAGGGGTCACGATACGATATATTCCGATATATTACAGTATTGTAAACAAGGCGATATATTGCAATTTTTTGGGTCCAAAAATTCTATTAAATAAAGACCTCTTACTGGGAAAAAAAAACAAAAAATAAAATGAAAAACCAAAATTCATTGTCTCAGAAAATTCTAATATTATATAGACAAACTTTTGATACATTTAGCTGTGTTCTGCTTTGTATGCGTTATTTGTTTCATATTTCATCCATGTTTTCAATTATTAGACTAAATTTGCCAATAAATAGTTTGAAAATATATTTTTTGCAGCTTTTAGTTTTTAATATTAATTTACAATATGGTCACCCAGCACTTAACAATAGCGTTTATGTTGTCATACAGTTCAGTAAACAGATGATATGAAGCTGCGGCACACAGAGTTTCTGAGATCAGCTGACCTGCATCCAGAACGTTTGCAGAACTGTGGGTCGAACAGCAGGGTAAGTCCCGAAGAAAACCAGTTAAGAAATTGAGAAGCTAAATGAGTTAAACAATTTTTGAAGCGAACACAGCAGGATAAAGTACATGGACTTTGATGCGATGAGCCGGATATTGAGAGCAACAGACAGAGTTTTATGTCACGGGGGGAGTGCCGAGCTCGCTCGAGGTGATAGACGCATGCGCTATATGCGTAACGTGAAAGCTGACTACAGTTGGCAAAAAGAGAGCACAAAACACTTAATTTGGCTTAAAATACAGACATTCTGGCAAATAAATAAATATTTGTAACTTTACCTCAGCTTAGAATGGTGTCGGTCTTTTCTGCTCAGATTCAGCTATCGGAGCATGACGCTAATATTTACTCACAATGCTAATGCTCTCTTACTCTCTGGCGCTCAAGCTGTGGAGGAGCCAAGTGGCTGGCTCACTGCTGCCAACTAGTGGTCAGAGGCTGAACTACAACATGAAAATGAATGGCTGGCAGGAAAGTTGACATTTTAAAACTTAATAAAAAATCCATACAGGGCTTTAGAATATCGATACAGTATCAGGAAATGAAATATCGCGATATTTCAGCGTGTCAATATTTTCTTACACCCCTAGTAAATATATTACTAGAGGTGCTAATGACATGAAATTTTCACCAGATGTTGGTAACAACTCAAGTGATCCATACATAAAGAAATCAAACATAAATGTCCAGAAATGAAGTTATTTGTAATAATGTGGAATGGCACAGGGAAAAAGTATTGAACACGCTTACTGAAATTTATCTAATACTCTGTACAAAAGCCTTTGTTGGCAATAACAGCTTCAAGACGCCTCCTGTATGGAGAAACTAGTCGCATGCAATGCTCAGGTGTGATTTTGGCCCATTCTTCCACAAACAGTCTTCAAATCTTGAAGGTTTCGTGGGCCTCTTCTATGAACTCTGATCTTTAGTTCTTTCCATAGGTTTTCTATTGGATTCAGGTCAGGTGATTGGCTGGGCCATTCCAGCAGCTTTATTGTCTTTCTCTGAAACAAATAGAGTTTCCTTGGCTTTGTGTTTGGGGTCATTGTCTTGCTGAAATGTCCAGCCACGTTTTATCTTCATCATCCTGGTAGATGGAAGCAGATTTTTATCAAGAATGTCTCTGTACATTTTTCCATTCATCCTTCCTTCAATTATTTGAAGTTTGCCARYACCATATGCTGAAAAACAGMCCCACACCATGATGTTCCCACCTCCAAACTTCACTGTTGGTATGGTGTTTTTGGGCTGATGTGCAGTGCCATTTGACCTCCAAACATGATGAGTATTATGGCATCCAAACAGTTCAATGTTGGTCTCATCTGACCAGACTATATTCTCCCAGTATTTCACAGGCCTGTCTAAATGTTGTGCAGCAAACTTTRAAGGAGCTTCAACATGCTGTTTCTTCAGCAGTGGAGTCTTGCGTGGTGAGCGTGCATATAGGCCATGGCGGTTGAGTGCATTACTTATTGTTTTCTTTGAAACAATCGTACCTGCTAATTCCAGGTCTTTCTGAAKCTCTCCACAAGTGGTCCTTGGCTCTTGGACAACTCTTCTCATAATTCTTTTCACTCCTCTGTCAGAAATCTTGCGAGGACCACCTGGTCATGGTCAGTTTATGGAGAAATGATGTTCTTTCCACTTCCAAATTATGGCCCCAATAGTGCTCACTGGAACATTCAGAAGTTTAGAAATTCTTCTGTAACTGATGCCATTATTATGCTTTGCAACAATAAGGTTGCGAAGGTCTTGAGAGAGCTCTTTACTTTTACCCATCATYAGATGGTTCTTGTGTGATACCTGGCCATCATCTGGGTCTGAACCAGCTGATATTAATTTGCACTGACAACGGGCAGGCTTGCTTTCTAATTACTGAGAGAGTTCTGCTGGTGTCTTGGCTTTCCATCCCTTTTTCTCCTCCCTTTCTTCATGTGTTCAATACTTTTCCCCTGTGTCATTCCACATTATTACAAATAACTTCATTTCTGGACATTTATGGTTTGATTTCTTTGTATGTATGGATCACTTGGGTTGTTACCGACATCATGACATTAGCACCTCTAGTAATATATTTACTGAGAAAAATGGTGACGTGTTCAATACTTATTTTACCCGCTGTAAACTACAATACCGATGGCTAGATAGATTTTTCTACTCAACATCAGTGTTAAGTTCAGTGAAGTAGAGCCTCTTTTTTATTTATGTTTTTGTTAATGGTAGATGGAAAAAAAAAAAGACGTGACCAGCTGCATGCTCATGTTCGTTCTTGGGACCTTGATCTAACCAGCTCTTTTTAAGCTCTTTTTAAAACTGGCTTCAGACAAAAAATATCATTTTAAACAAAATAACACGCAGAAGGAATTGAACACTCGGGGTCCTGTTCTGGTCCAGCT